TTTTAAAACAGAAGTTTTACTAAAATTATGTTTTACGCTCACACATCTATGCTTCTTCTCTTTATTCTTTTTTCTGCGTTTTTTTTTGCCAGCTTTGCGGTTGTTTAAAGCTACGTGCATGCTCTACAAGAAAAGGAAAAATCGAAAGAAGAAAAATACAAAGAAGATGAAGAAGAAGGCTTATGCCTTAGAGTTACTTTTGTTTTAACTTAGTTTTCCTTTTCCTTTTACTTTTTGTTTTTGTTTATTTTTTATTTTTTATACCCATCACCGAAGGACGAGCGATACATTCATTTAGACAAAATGTTTGCAACGCCTACAAGGAACCGTCAGACACCCCACAAATATACATATATTCTTGATCAGCACTAAATTCTAAATCGATTTGAAATGCACCCAAGCCTGTCTGTTGGTCCATATGCCTGTCTGCCCAATTGCGTAGTGTCTGTGGTAGACACTCTTCCGCTAGCGAAAAGGAATTTGGAAGTGATTTAAACTTTTGCGAGGGCACGCCTACAACGCCCACAGGCCTATACGAAAAAAAATGTTTATTTTCAAAATAGAAAAAATTAACCGCGTCCCCGCTCCATATTAGAGAGCATGGAAATTTTGTTCGTTTACTTCTCTTGTCTTTTTTAGGATAACGGTGGTGAGTATCAAAGATTCGGTCACGACCAAATATAATTGTCTTACTTGTAATTTTTTCTTCCTCTTATTTCTTGTTTTTTTTTGCAAGCCCATCAAAAGCAAGTACGGTGAACTGTTTGTAACACTTGGAATTATATATTGGAGATTCCCTTGTAGACCTTTTGTATATAAGTACATACATATACTACACACGTGGTATTGATAAGCGAATTAAGAAACAGACGGACGTCTGTAGAAAATTCAGTGGAATGAAGAAAATCTTAAACACTATATGCACAATGCCGGAATGAAATTCGCTAAGATGTCGGTTAAGATTGGTTTTCCACTCGCGACAAAATATCGTAACTTTGGATTACATATGGCCTATGATCGGTGAAACGCTCTTCCAGATTCTTGCTGGACTGAAAAAATTGTGCATTTTCGGGTTTAGCATTGCGGTTTCGGACTTTTCGCCTTCAAATTGTAATGCACTCTACATTCTGTACAAATACAATGCAGTAACTAAGCACAAGCATGCTTTCGATGGAAAGTCTTAGTTTATAGTACGAAGATATACGAGATTGATGTCCAATATGTTTCTTTACCGCTTCGACTCCTCGATTGTCAAATCTTTAGCTAATCAACTCAAATGCAATATATGTATAAATAATCTATGCAGTCTCTCGGGAATGAGATATATCTTTGTCATATAACTGACTTAGATCGATCGCAAATCGCATTATTCTTGCATAAAAATAAAAGTTAAGATCGATTACAATTCGATTAATTCGATACCGATTGAATTGCGTCTTTAATCGATTTGATCGATTCGCGATTTATGTGACGGCTGTAGGGAGCGAACCTATTGACCCAATTTCAACTCGTTCGACATATTTCGCAAACTTTGCCAAATGTGTCAAATGTGAGTTAGGCAGTTTGCGTGAAGCCAATGCGTGCAATACATATACATGTACATACATATCTAGTGAAAACAATCGACTACTTTTGCCTGTCTGTCTGTCTGTCTGTTCTTTTTGTTATTTATTGTAAAAACGAATATTCCTTGCTACCTGAAGCAGGTCGCGGCTGAAAATGGCGAAAATTCATGTACAACTATTTTTTTAAATTTGATATAAAACGAAATTGTAAATATTTTACGAATAAATAAAACTTCGCTCAGCTAATACGCTTAGTATTAAATAAGAAAAAGAAAAACCTCGTACTGTGCCTTAGATTCGTTCTAAATTGATTATAATGTTAACATTTGTTTTCGTTTTTATTTATGCCGAGGTTTATAAGAGTTTTTGTTGTGGGATTTTTGATATGTTTCTCTGTGTATGCGTGCGTAAGCATGTAAGCCGGTGGTTTGTTTAAAAATTCTCTTTGTTTTTTTTTTTTTTTTCTTTTTTCTACGCTTTATGTAAAAAACTAAAGTTTTTTTTTTTTTTATTTTTGCTTTCTTTCAAATCCTTTATTGTCAAAAGCATTAATATATGTATCGTAAAGCCAAAAAGTAACTACAACTGCAACAACAATAACATCATATTATGAGACTTATAAACTGGGCGCGTAAATATTCTATAAAATAGGCTGAGTATGTGTTGTTCTTAAACGTGTTCATGGTCAAGTTTTTGTACTATTTTGATATTTTTGCTAATTTTTAAAAGTTTTTCTACGCAACAACACCAACAATACCTTTTTAGTAAGTAGTTCTTATAAAATATTAAAAAAATCTTCATTTTTCATCGTTTTCCGTTACGCTTTCACATAAAATTATCGAACATTAACAAAAACTATAATCAGGGTAAGTAGGTTTGATGAGTTTGGTGGTGGTAATAACCGTTTTTCAGTGGGCGTGTAGTCGTGACACTTATCCACTCAATTGCTTACGTGGACTCAGCAAATATCGGACATAACCTCATCATTGGCCTTCAAATATTACGCGTTTGTATCCGCGGACAGATGTAGATCCAATAGTTGTTATTGAAGGTAGATAGGCAAATGAACAGAATACGAGCTTTCAAGGATTTCAAGGCAGATCGTGTAATCCACGACATGTGTGTACGCAACGACAGTCAACAAAAGAGAAGGGCCGTGTTCATCCAGGCAGGTTTTAAGGTAGCTTTTAACAACAATTAAGGCAAAAATTGTCCTCAGATACTGTCACTGAATTCGAGTAAGGTTTGCGTTCTGCGATTTACTTCCCGCTTGCACGGTTGTATTTTACTTTAGTTAACCTAAATTCACCAGTCGAATCTAACGTCATAGGTGAAAAGGAAGGACTATGTTAGTCCATATAATTTCTTGATGTTGGCTTAGTGTTCAGTCCTTACTATATAAGATTGTTAGCATTTTGTTCAGTTTAATGAAATAGAAGGGTGTGGTTCCACTTATTCACTATTCGCAAATTGTTTCTCTAAAGGCAAAAGAGTTAATGTTGGATTCAGAAAAACGTACTCACATATTCCAAGGGAAATCGAATCAAATCTTTAACCATCTTTTTGGTAAAATAAGGACTCGTCAAGTTATATAGAGCAACAAAACGTGTTTTTGGATTAATATGTAAACCTTAAGCCTTAATTAGCAGACAAGGTATTTAGCTCCGAAGAAGGCGACACATACTGCATGCAAACTTACCGAGGAATGAGACGATGAAACAAATCTTGTTTCGCAAGAAGAAGCAAATTTTTTACATTTATTGAAAACTGGATTAAGCGAGAATTTCGTTTAAAAATTGTAGGAACGAAATTCCATCTACTAAGAAAAGATGACAAGTAACAGAAATTTGAAAATTTTAAAAATATTTTCTTTTGGATGAAAGCGGTTTAGGTAAGGCTTGTAGGGTCATAGGAGGGTGGAAGAGAAAACATGAACTAATTGCTTGACAGTAAACAATCGCTTTAGAAATGAAATAGAAAATCGATTTAACAGGAAGAACCAATGTTGTGACGGATGGTTTCAAAAATCAATTACTGACCAAAATAAATGGTTAAAGAAGTTGAGCATCAACAATTAGATACGCATTCACCATGTGGTCGTGCAATTCGATAACAATGTACAGATTTTAGAACAAAAAAAAAAAAAAAAAAGCAAACAAGCAAAGCGTTTTGGGCAATAAAATTTCAATTTAAATTTGGTTTTCATCTCTTGTCACTTTCCTTCTTTCTTTTTTTTTTTTTTTTTTATGACAGATTGAAAGCGCAAACTATTGACTGCAAAAAGAAAAACAACTTGGCATAACATACCGGCCAATTGTTCCCGAGACTGACACGTAGATACTCTCTCTCTCTCTCTCTCTCTCTCTCTCTCTCTTTCTCTCTCTCTCTCTCTCCACGAATGCATCATTGTTTGGAAATTAGTAACTTTTCATGACATTTCAATTATTTGTTTATAAAGTGTAGTGGTGTTGGTGACACAACGAAAACTCAAAATTTTATATTTTAATTAAAAATTCGCTTCTTGACGGAGGAAATGCTTTTGAAGCTCTTTGCTTGGCTTGCATGCAAACTTGCGCAAGAGCGGGATAGATACCGCGTTTACTTGCAGCGGCACATATGCCCTACTATAATATCGAAATTGCTTGTACTGGCGAATTGCATTTCGATTCGCTGTATTCTTTAGGTCTCAGACGCAGCCGGTTATTATCTGTGACGGAACGACATTCAAAAAATGGCTCGAGAGAAAGGATTAATTTGCCCTGATTTACTTAAAATCTTATGGCTTCGGCGCTAACGTTGTATGTACTCTTCCGTATGAAATAAGATCTCGTAAAAGTTATCTGTGAGCTAGTTCTTCGATGCTTGATTCTTTAATATATTAGCTGCAATGCGTTGCCCATGGAAATAAAAAAATCGCCCGCCTAATAAAAAAAAGTAGATGAGTAGCGAATTTACTCTACTAACATCAAATCAGAAATATTTTGCAAATTTCTTACGAAAATCGAGCAAATGTGGAAGACAAAAAAGTTAATGAATCATTTTAAGGTTATGGTTTATAGGTGCAAAAAATAAAATGCGAGAATATGTGAATTAACCAAGGATTTTATTTGATCGATATCAAAACAGATGGGGCCCGATTATAACGAGGAAATTCTTGAACATTTCCCTCTACTTATCCTCACAATTATCGCGGACGACATTTTTTTTGCTTTTTCGCATATACTACTAAAAGGACGACATACCCTTTCTCCAAAATATATATTTTTGTGTTCTTATTACCGTTCACGATAACTTTACGCTTACACTTTTTAAAACACTTTGTATTACAAGCTTTTGATCTAGTTAAAGTGAGCATAGAAATCCAAATTTAATAAAAAAAAAAGAAAAGAAAAGAAAAAAAAATGCGCATCATGTCTATGAAATGAATTTACTTACCTTAGGTGTTGCGACGGCATGCTCTCCATCATATACGTATAAATGATCATTACAGTCCAATTGTAACATGTCGAAGCGTAGCATGAATCTTTGTAAAATTGAATACGTCTGAAAGGTGATGATGCAATCAAGATTGCGTTCATTCTGCGACCAGAGTACAGCGCCATCAATTTTACGATATAACTGCTGAAGAAAATGATTTTTACACAACGATTGCATGTAATCTGCAAGAAAACCAATAAAACAAACCGTAGAAGAAAAACTATTAATATAAAGAAGTCAAGCGGTAACACAACCGTAACAGCCTAGTAAAGAGGGTTTCTTTAAAACTTTACTACTTTTTTTTTTGATGGAAGTAAAGGTAGCAAACTGATAACATATTTAAGTATCAAAACAAAAAAAAAACAAAACAATCAAAACAACACTGTTGGGATGGTCAGCTCAAGAAGTCCGGCGACACGCAGTGTCTAACTAAATCAAAAAAATAAAAAAAATCATTTCATCTACATTGCTATATCTAAAGAATGATCTGGGATTTGAATGAAAATATGCAATTTTCGATTGAGAAAAGATCACTCTTTTATTAATGGGAAATGTGAACATTAACTTGTCAAAAGTATTCCATGTGATTGCCTAGAGAATGTTATTTTAAAGATTCTCTACAAAATTCGAATAGAAAAAGTGACAATTGTTTGAGTTATGCCGCGAGCTCAGGGTGCTTTGTTAAAGGAGGCCTAGGAGTTGTAGGTCTATAATTCTTCAAGCAGTGACAGGTGGTCACTACGAATTTATCCCGATGATAATTGACAGAATCTGCACCGTCGAGAGCAATCGCAAAGGCGAAGTTATAGTTAAAGTACCGCATAACAGCCGAGTTACAGCTTTTGAAAAAGATCTCGTTATCGGGCGGATAGTGCTACGAAAATCTCATATTTGATGATTTATGTTTGCATGAAAGGTAATCGATTTTCTTACCAAATTTCAAAGAATTCGGGAAAACCAAATACGCATTGACGACTGGCGTAAAGATTACTAGCAATCAGCAGAATGTTTAGCGGGAAAAGTACTGGTTAGGCACTGGTAACTTGCTTGTAAAAGGATACACAATCAGGGTATACTTGCGGAAGGCAAGTCAATTGGGTCAAGGGAGTTGAATCGTAACATTCAAGCAGACGAAACCAAAAGCATTGTAATTATAAGTTCATGTAGATGACGTGTAACTGGATCTCTTAAGTATAGATCTCTTGTGAATAAAATGTGTGTTAACCTAGAAAACGCAACTCAATGGTACGAACTTAACCTCAAAAGGAGTGGAATAAGATACGTGAAAGACAGTTTACGTCACGACAAGTTTAAGGCTTATAGTCAGCCACTATTCAACCTTAAATAGCTTATACCATACTGCAGTTATTCATATAACGTAAGTTTTCAAAATAGGACGTTGAACGGAAAAAGATGATGCGATCCGAACCATTGTTCGTCCCTAAGTCAAAGTACTTGAGTATACCAAATCTTATCGAAATAATTCAAAAGTTGCTGCCTTTAGATTGAGCACAAAAATGCTCCGCGGGCAGATCGTCAGATACGCTAAGATGGGATATAATAAAAGACGAGTCTATTTCAAGTCCTTCTGGGTGTTAATTACACCCGCATGAACTTATCACGCTCTTGTACAGCAAGTGATGTAGGATTTAAAGAAAATGGATGCATTAGCCATTGATTGGATTGGATTGAAAAGGTAAACAATTATTATTAATATTATCATTATCACTATTATTATTATTATTATTGAGCCGAAGAAAATATAAAAATGGAGGGTATATTCATTTTGATCTTTTCCATCATGTATGTAATAACCAAAAGGAAGCTTCAGAGACGCTATAAAGTATATATATTCTTGATCAGCGTGAAATTCTGAGTTGATTTAGCCATGTCCGTCCCTCTCCTTGGCACAATCCCGGTCGCAAAGATGAAGATATCGACTTCAAATTTGGTAGAAAAATTGAAAGTTTCTGCGCGCAGGCTGGTATTAAAAATGGGCGAAAATAATCAAAGCAAAAGCGCGCAGTGGAGCCTAAACTGAACGCAAGTCCGATTATTTTAACAATAATTTTTGGAATTTTGCTGATTACTCGAAAATTATACAAGCTAAACAGCTGAAATTTTCCACATTTACTTTAGGAAGCACTCTACTCCTTACACGTAAAAATGGAAAACATCCACCATGCCCACACCAAGTTACAAGTGATTAAATTTTATTCTTTCACTTTCTTCAGTTTTTATGCTTATTATTATCACAAGGCAAACAAGACAGAATGTTTAAACCTGTGTTGTGCACTTCTCAAACAGGAGATATTCTATCCGCCTAAAAATGGGTTAATTCCAAAATGAATACCGTAGATACCGCGATTACTTTATTCTTAATAATACCAGCGAGAAGTGGGTATCAAATAAAAGAATTTAGAGAGTAGAATGGGAAAAAGATAGTGGTGGGTATGCGAGATACGGCCCCTGGCGAATATAACTTTCTTATCTGTTGTATTTAGTAATGAGCAGGATAAAAATACCAGCTTTTCAGAAGTAGAAATATGTTCCGCTGGTGTTATCAGGTAGGTAGTCTACTGTCTATCTACTACCAGGCTATCGGGTCGAGTAAAGTAGCAGAGAGTTCAAATTTTCTTATATCTACTAATATAGTAGATCTGTTATCCAGTAGTCGGCCATAAATAATTGGCTCCGCTATTTCGGCTTAGTAACGTTAGTTCTCTTGCGATGAATAATATATGAGATGATGAGCACAATAAATAGTTAGGTTGGATATGGAGAGGATTTTGCTTAAGATAAACTCTGTCTCTCTCCCCGCCCTCTCTCTCTCTCTCTCTCTCTCTTTCCCCCTGTCTCTTTCTCTGTCTAATCTTTTTATTGTTTTAAAATTCTTTTACATCTCATATAAATGGAAAAACAGATATAAAGCCAAGAATATGTTTATTTCTATATTTTTACAGCTATGTGGACGATGGAGGGGGATTATGGTAACGGTGGAGGAGAGAGAGAGGCCGTCAATGGTGGTGGTTGTGGTGTAGATATCCGAGTGGATATAGTTAGTGTTCCGCATTTATATACATATATATATATATATATATTATATTTTAAATTTGTCAATAAAACTACGAAACACGGATTCCAAGCTATCGGTATTCAAAACATGGCGCAAATAACAGCTGCGTCAACTAAGCTGGTATGCACATGCGAGCAACTGTGCATTTGCCTGGCTATGTTTAGTAATACTTCAAGAGATTTATATATATACGTACATATATATATGTATAGTTTAGATCTAATATTTTCTACTAACTCTGCATAGATAGTTACTGCTGTCACAACTTGTGACACATTCATGTATAACCGACGTTTATGCAGCAAATTCATTGAAACGCACAGACACAGTGACAAACGAAGAGATTCTAGTACATGTACTCATTTTATCCGTTCGCTGATGTATGATGCTAAGATGTGAAGTGTGTGTGACAAACACATTTAGTACTCACAACGAATGCTATGCTATGTGCTCATGCACAACTGTGCTAAGAGCGACAATAACGACTATGTATATATATATATTTATATGTTTATATATATATATATATATATATATATATACATATACATACATATATACATATATATATATATTTATATATATTTATATATATATATATATATACATGATTTTGACGACTACGATGATTGTGATGCGTTATTCTAATGCTTCCCAATGATGGTTTAAAAAATCCACTACCCTTTCTAACGAATCTGCAAAAATTGTAATTGCAAATGGCCGTCAAACGGCATTGCTGGTAACGATCACAAGCATTTGACGTTGACAACGTTGATGCCTGATAATAGTCTGGTGTGAAATCGTTTGAAAGTGTCGTAAAAGGAGGTTACTTTCAAAATGTTGTTTTTTTTTCCATTCTTCTTATCCTTTTTTTTTTTTTTTATACACTATTCTTGCTTCCTTACCACCACCACCACCGTCACATATTCATGCTAAAATTTCAAAGAAAGTACACACACTAAAGATAATTCAATATATCTACACACGTAAAATTAAACTTTATTCCATATGTGTGTGCGTTCGTTTTTTTGATATAAGAACTGATCGAAGTTCGTTCGCTGCTTGCTTGCTATGTACGCAATCGATTGCTTTTTAATGCAGTTGAATTGTATTGCAAGTGTTGCCTTCTCTGCATACAAAGGCAGACGCACACACATACACGTACACACCTATCATGTCTTCTTTTAAAGTGGGGACGTGATGCTTGATTTTGTTTATCAACTGTCACAAGTAACTTTCAGCAAACTTTAAAGTGTTTTATACGGGACAGGAGGGGCCAAAGGAAGCGGGTTCTATCTGTCAAACTATCATCAATATCATTGTGACACTGTAGAAGTCGTTTGAAGCGCTTGTTATTCTTTCTCTAAAAGTTTACCATTTACACCGATGAGATTTACTTTAATCAGTTTACTTGTCTTCTTTCTCTTATCCCCCCTCCTTTACTTAGCAAGTATGCAAGTATCGGAAGAGAAAAAAAGAGTTTATTTTTAAAGTTTTTTCTTTCAATTTCACTTCGACTTTACTTACATTTTTTTTTTTTTTTTTCTAATGATCCTATATTGGATTGTCGTGTATACCGGCGTTTGTCTACTTTTATTTTTACTTCTATTCACTTTCTTTTTCGTAACTTTTCTAAATATTACAATTATAAATTTTTCCTTAACGATGTTTGCTGCTATTGTCTGTCACGTATTCAAATGCGTGCATAAGTGCGTAGTGAAAGTGAAGTAAGAATATTATAGTCGGGCGTGCCGGCAATTCGATACACCTACACCACTTCGCTTAATACAATTATTGACTTGTATTAATAATAATACACGAAAAGTTACACATTACTTACATGCGAAGGTATTATACTCTTCATGAAAGTCCGCAAATTGAAGGAATCATGATATGCAGTGGTATCCAAAAAATCGAATAGAATAGTGGTCCAAATACGATAAGCTTGATTTCAATGTCAATTTTCTATTGTGAACTACTTTTCGCCGTGAAACATTATAAGCTATACATTTTTTATTATGCAAAGATTCAGTTTTCGTAGAATCAGCAGTAGATTTAATGGACGAGCGTTCAAAAAATTGCCCCGGCCGAACCAAATTTTCCATA